AATTATAATCACTTTAGTTATCCTCTTATGTTTGTCAGGGAAGCATAGTAGCCATTGGTGGTTCTTTTGGTCGCCTTAGCCGTGAGCCTCACTCGCTGCCCCTTGGGTTGCCTTTGGTCATGAGTTTTGGAAGCTGTCTTCTGCCTTAGCCGTGAGCCTCATTTAGCCCTGTTTCTTGTCTTAACCGAGGGCCTTGGTGGTTTCTTTCTCTTTTCTATTGGCCCCGGCCCTGAGCATTTATTTAGGTTCTATGGGAAAATTTCATGTTTATTTGATATACGAGACTTCTTTAATTCAAAAGTGGGAGAATTTTGATTTCGGAATGAGTTTGGAAAAATCGATGGTGGTTTCCCCGAAGTCACTTTCTTTTGAAGTTTGGGAGATTTTAAACCTCATTTTGGAGAAGCATTTGGTGGATTCAATCAATCTTATGTCTTTGGGGTTTGGAAAAATTAGAGCGAGCTTGCCCTTTATGTTTGTTAGGAAATACCTTGGGCGCTACTTTTCCAGATCTCTTCGGTAAGAGTTTTGAGAACTGATTCATTCTCTTTTTTGGTGTTTTAGTTGGATCAGTGTCTCTTCTCTCTCACCCCATTTTTTTTCTTTTCTTTCTTTGCTTCTTAGTTCGTTCTTTTTTATGCTTATGTCTGATGCATAAGTGTCCACGTATAGCCTTTTGCTATACGTGCAACCATCAAGCAAAATTGCAAGTAGTTGTTTTGGGGCGTACGGTGTTGATCATAAAGACACGCCGAAGATAGAGCAGAAAGATGTCCTATCTTATAACATCAAGATCCAAACATTTGATGAACAATAGGATATAGTATCCTTCGCCGACAAAAGTCTAGCGGTAGTCGGCTCGAACCTTCTCAGGTGATTGACAGTCCCATGCCTGATAGCGTAATCGACTCGTGGACAACCAAAATAAAAGAAAAGATAAGTTTTTGATAAATTATTTTCAAACAAAATATACTTCTCCACGAAACAAAATGGACAACTCTTCTTTGCTTAAGAGGTTGTGTGTATGTCAAAAACATAAATTTCAAAAATACATTTTAAACTTGGTTGTCCACCTGACGAATACCTGTTTAGGCTGGGAAATAGCCCTCTAAGTGAGGTTCAAGACA